AACCAGAGGTCTCGAGTTCGAGCTCTGGGAATGCAGCTGTGTTAAAACTCTTGAGGTAGAGCTTTGCCGCCCTTGTGGTCCTACCCGGCTCGATTCCGAATTAGTCGGTCCCCTAGGGGATTCGGAAACCGGAAGGTTCATTGTACCAAAAAAAAAAAAAAATCACATCAATTCTAATTATTATATTTTTGTCTTGTATTCATTTGCAATCTAAAATCTATTTCATTTTTTCTTTTTCATTTCTATTTTCAGATTAGAAATGATTTTTGATTTTTTTTTCATATACAATTGCAATTTTTTTTTTTATAATTGAGATGTGTAGTTCTAAATATAATTTAGGCCCCCACTCATTTAAATTTCTAGATCCTGGCCGTCAACATAGTGATATATGGTGAAATTAGTTTGACACTGAACTAATCTCCGCATGCACACGAATATTATACGACCAATTTTCGTTGTTCCAGCATTTTGGATAAGATTGTACTCCATTTTAACAAATTTATAGTAACATCAACAACAAAATTAATTAAATTGTGAGAAAGCGTGAGCATGGTACATTCCCCAGAAAATTCTTCTCTAAATCATTGCTCTTTTTTGAACAAGTCGTGGATGATGAAACAAAAGTCCTAATTAAAAATCACAAAAGTGTAACAAATTCAATAATGATTGCAATATTCAAGCTCGAATATAAAAGTACAGACTAGACCAGTTGAATAAACTATTTAAAATAACTCAATTCAGAAAAACTGTCAATTGAATCAACTAGCTAAAATAACTCAACTCAAGAAAACTGCTCGGAAAAATAGTTTAAATCAGTCAATATAAACACTAACTCTCAAACAGAAGAAGAGTATAGGAGAGTACAGCTCCACCAATGAATAATAAATAAAACAAATAATGACAAATAGAAAAAACATACGAATAAAATCTACCCAGACTTAAGTCGGATCACACGCCTTTGATGATCCAGTGTGGCACGACTGAGTATGTGCGAAGTCCGAAGCCGTTCCGGTTCATCGCATCTTGGCTCATGCATGAGGACTTTCATCGGCTTGTCATGGAAACATGGTCTGGGATGCAAACTTTTGTGGATGCGGCTAACCGATTTTCTTCCCGGGCGAAGGAGTGGAATTTTAATGTCTTTGGGAACGTATTTAAACGTAAGAAGAGGTTGCTAGCACGGATCTTGGGAGTTCAAAGGGCTTTACAACGACGGGTCACTAATCATCTGTTATCTCTTGAACGGGATTTGAGTACGGAGCTCGAGGAGGTGTCGATGCAAGAAGAGGTTCTCTTGATTCAAAAATCTCAACGGGACTGGTCGTTGTTTGGTGATCTAACACAAAGTTCTACCACAGGAAGATAAAAGCCCAGCGGAGGAAAAACAGAATTGTGGGGCTTTTTGATAATGATGGAATTTGGTGTCAGGACCAACATGACTTACGTAGCCTGGCTGTGGAATTCTTTAAAAAAATCTACTTGGTTGGGCCCCGAGTCTCTCAACCTCCTCTTATCCCGAACAGATTTTCCCGTGTTGAACCTACCCAGCTATCGCCTTTGGGGAGAGAAGTCTCGAACACTGAAATTTACGCTGCCCTTAGATCCATGCATCCTTTGAAGTCCCCGGGCCTGGATGGACTTCATGCGATCTTCTTTCAACAAAAGTGGGATATCGTGGGCGCATCAGTCAGTCGCTTGGTTCGCGAAATATTACACGATGGTTTCATGCCACAACAAGTGAATAAAACACTAATTGTTTTGATCCCTAAAGTGGACAACCCTCAGACGTTCAAACAATTCAGACCGATTAGTCTTCTTAATGTTGTGTATAAATTGGCGACTAAGATTCTGGCTAATCGAATGAAGCCCTTGCTGCCAAGCCTGGTCGGGCCAGCTCAAGTTAGTTTCGTATCAGGCCGACATATCTCGGATAACATAGTTATTGCTCAGGAGCTCGTTCACTCGATGAGAACTAAAGTGGGTCGAACGGGCTATTTCTTGGTGAAGGTCGACTTAGAAAAAGCCTACGACTATCTCCGGTGGGATTTTATCGAGGATACTCTCCAGCTAGCGGGCTTTCCGGAATCTTTCGTTCGAGGTGTCATGACCTGCATAACTTCGGCCTCCATGCAAATTCAATTTAATGACACCGTCTCGGAGGAGTTTACTCCATCCCGTGGTGTCCGCCAAGGTGACCCTATATCACCGTACCTCTTCGTTTTAGCAATGGAGCGCCTGGCTCACCTCATTCAGCACAAGGTAGATCAAGGCCAGTGGCGACCGATTTCCTTAGGTCGTGGGGCGGTGGAGGTTCCTTATCTTATGTTCGCGGACGATCTTCTATTGTTTTTAGAAGCCTCACCCGACCAGGCGGACGTCCTAAACGAGGTGTTATCCGAATTTTGCCTTCACTCGGGCTTAAAAATCAGTGTGTCGAAGACGAGAGTATTCTTCTCGGCGAATGTGAACGAACAGGTCCAAACTCAACTCGCCGAAAGGACCGGATTTGTGAGGGTCGACAACTTGGGCAAGTATCTCGGCATGCCGGTCATCCATGGGCGGGTCACTAAGCATACTTATGAAGGAATTGTGGAGAAGGTGGAACGCTGTCTTGATGGCTGGAAAGCCTCTTCCCTTTCTTTGGCTGGTAGAATTACTCTAACCCAAGCGGTAGTGAGTAGTCTTCCTTATTACTCCATGCAGTCAGCGTGGATCCCCTCGGCGACCTGTGAGGAGCTGGAAAAAATCTGTCGGAGGTTCATCTGGGGTAGTTCCCAAACGGTGAAAAAAGTCCATCTCGTGAATTGGAGCTCCCTTTGTAAACCTAAAGAGGAGGGTGGCCTGGGACTCAAAGACCAACGCCGCATGAATATGGCTCTTCTTATGAAACTCGGCTGGGGCTTGTTAAGTAAACCAGACGCTTTGTGGGTCCGAGTTTTACGTGCCAAATATAATCTCCATCCACGCACGATGCCGGCTGAGTTTCCCTTTTCGTCGGGCTCGGTTGTGTTGAGGGCTATTGCTAGGATATGGCCGCATGTAGTAAAGGGCACCAGATGGTCTATTGGTGATGGGACCCGAATTCTTTTTTGGTGGGACAATTGGCTGAACTTCTCAGAGGCCTTAATTACCCGTGCTCGGGGAGTCGTTCCAGAAGAGCAACTATCCTGGACCGTGTCCAACTACGTCACCGCCTCGGGCCAGTGGGACTGGCAGAGCTTCTCCTCAATTCTGAGGACATCAGATCTTCTTCGTATCTCGGCAGTCTTACCTCCAACGGCGGGAGCTGGCCAAGACCGGGTGTTCTGGGGATGGTCGTCCAACGGCCAATTCTCGACTAAGTCGGCGTACATTTCTTTAGCCCCAATGGACCCGGCCCCTAAAACTCGTATATGGAAGCTCATATGGCGGTGGGTTGGCCCTCAACGCATTAAACAGTTTTTATGGCTCGTAGCGAAGGAGCGACTTTTAACTAATGGTGAACGTCATCGTCGTCACATAGCCGAGAACTCATTATGCGAGCTGTGCAAATCTGGTCCGGAGACGATTCTCCACGCGCTACGTGATTGTGAGGCCCCGTCACTTTTCTGGAAAAGATTTCTCCCTCGATCATCTTGGTCAGCTTTCTTCAGTATGGACCTAAGTACGTGGCTTGAAACGAATTTATCTAACAGCTTCGAGCTCTTCGATGATAGTTGGGAGTGTTTTTTTGGTGTTAGCTTGTGGCGGCTATGGCAAGGGCGAAATAACTATATATTTAATGGCCTCGACCCGTTGGTGGACAGGAAAATACATGAAGATCGAAATTACGTAGCCTCGCTTAAGCAAGTGTCTTCGAGCTGTTTGCGCCTTGGACAGGTTGGGCTCCGACGTTCGGAATGCATGATCCGGTGGGAATCACTGCGCCCGGGGTGGATAAAGTGCAACTCGGATGGCGCCTTCAATACGGCTACAGGAATGGCAAGTGCGGGGGGCCTCTTACGCGACCACAACGGTAAGTTTTTGGGTGGCTTTTCCATGAACATTGGGTTTTGTTCGATCATGGGCGCGGAGCTTTGGGGCTTGTTTCAAGTCTTGTCATTAGCTTGGGATTTGGGGCGTCGTAAAGTTCTCGCCGATATTGATAGTCGAGTGGTGGCGGACGTGGTGAATGGAGAGGCTGATTTTCAGGGCGTGCATAACAGTCTTATTCGGGCTACTAAAGAATTGATGAATCGAGATTGGAATGTTGACCTACGTCACGTCTACCGTGAATCTAACTTTGCGGCCGATTTTTTGGCATCGCTAACAGCTTCGGGCCCAGGAGGAGTTCAAAGGCTAGAGTTCCCGCCGGCGGGCTTGAAACCATGGCTAATGCATGATGTTGTTGGGGTAGCTTACTCTCGTAGAATAGCTTCTTAAGTTTTCCTTCCCTCAGTACCAAAAAAAAATCTCAAGAACTAACTAGTAAATAGAATAAAACCTTCTCAATTCTCTCTCAACACATATAGGTTGATTAAAATATAGAAAAGTCGGAAATTTAATTTTATCACAAACAAAATTTACACACATAAAGGTCAAACGAGGCTAAATTCGAGCCAAGTGACGAGTGTAGACAACCCTCGACTTGTTTTATTATTGAATCCCACACGCATTCACACGGGTATGTAGAATAGTTGGAAAATTGATTTTATCACAAATAAAATTTACACACAAAAGATCAAATAAGGATAAATTCGATTAAATATGAAGCAACACTCGTCGTCAACGTTTTTGCAGCACAATACAGCCAACAAATACAACCTAAGCTGTCCGGATAAAGAAAGAAAATTGAAAAGGTGCTCTTTTTTCCTTTTCTTTTTTTATTTCTTTTTTCCCTTTTTAGCTCGGAAATTGGTGTCGTTGCCCAACTTTTGGCTAGCAGATGGCTTTCTTTCTTAACCTTTTGTTTGCTGTTTGTGTGAGGAGGGATTGAGCAAAAAATCATCTCAAAGTGGGTTTGTGCAGTTGTGCTTCCTTTCTTCTTCTTCTTTTTTTTTTTTTAAATCTGCTCTGTTATGTTGATTTTGCACCTATTTTTGCTACTGTTCTTGGGGTGTTCTCAGGTAATTTTGCTCTCAACCCATATGAGACTTTGACATACATTATTTAGTTCACTCTCAGCATTTTCTGTTTCCTTTATTCATTTCCTGAAGTTTTATATCATTCATCCTTTCTTGGCTGTAAGCTGTAGCTGGGATATGCAATTTATAGTTCAGAGATCCATTTTTTTTCGTGGGTTTTGGTCAGATATTATTCTCCTTACTAGATTCTTGTAGGATGAAATAGATCATTGCTTGCTATTTCCCAAATATTCGATCTTTCAGTGCCTAGTGTATCTATATCTTAGACAAACCAAGACTTCCCTTGAAATTTATGAATCTTTGAAGACCTAAATATTTCTCCCCTGTTCTTGAAAGACTCTCTTCTTGTTTTGTATATTTAGGGCAGTTTTTATGAGATGTATCTTCAGCTGGGATCTTATGTAATGCATGAATAAGAAATACTAATCATGGATGAAGATGGTTCCTTCACTCTTAACTCCATGCCCCAAACCCCACAGACCGATTTCGATCTCATGGATGAACTCTTGTACGACGGATTTTGGTTAGAAGCTACTGATGGATATGACTTTTGTCCAAATATAGACAGTGATTTCACAAATCCACAACAAGGGAGCTTCCCAAAACTTACGGTAAAATCGAATTTTTCTACCGAGGCTACTCTTAATAATAATGTAGAAATGGATGAGTTTTTTTCACCTCAATCTCAAGACCAAGAAGATGACTCCCCATTAGCAACTCAATCCACAAAGTTATGGTTTGGGCCAAACAAGAACTCAATCGGCCATATACCCGTGAAGAAGAGATTAATGCAGGCTATGGATTGCCTCAAAGAGTCCCTAATCGATAAAGATATCCTAGTCCAGATATGGATTCCAGTAAATAGAGGAGGCCGGCAAGTGCTCACGACTAACGACCAGCCGTTCTCACTAAATCCACACTGCAAAAATCTCGCAGTCTATCGAAATGTATCCGAAAACTATCACTTTTCGGCTGATAAGGACGCGAAGGAGTTTTTCGGGCTGCCAGGTCGTGTTTTCTTGAACAGGTTTCCCGATTGGACTCCGGATGTTCGGTTTTTCAAAAGGGAAGAGTATCCGCGTGTCAAGCATGCACAGCAGCATGATGTTAGGGGTTCGATTGCCCTCCCGGTTTTCGAGCATGGCAGTGGCGTTTGCTTGGGGGTTGTTGAGATTGTGACGACCAGTCAAAAAGTCGATTTTAGCCCTGAGCTCGAGAGTGTCTGCAAAGCTCTAGAGGTATTGTGTTGACCTTCTCTTATTTTTGTGTTCCTATTGTCGTTCTTGATAAAGAGCTTGTAATGATGTGAATTTACTGTAAGGCTTCTTCTGTTTCTTTATTCCTTTCTTGATTGTCTTTCTTATGTAAATATTATCATTTGGAGCTTAGGCTAGTGATGACAGAAGTGTAAATAATCCTTATGATGCTATTTCTATGTCTATATCGTCATATGCTTATATAGATATATCTTCGGAGAAATTTCATACATAAACTCTTTTCAATCTTCGTTTAATTTACATAAACTCTTTTCAATCTTCGTATGAATTAAACGGCTCTCTTTTTTCTGAAAATGGCTTGTTCTCTTGCAGGCTGTTAACTTGAAAAGTTCCGAAATTTCGATTCCTTCCAATGTAAAGGTAATCAATAAAATAAAATCCTCTTCAGTGAACACAACTTTGGAAATGAAACTCATTTCTAATACATAACTTGATTCTATCTATGCCAGGATCCAAATGAACCGTTCCAAGATTTTGTACTCGAGGTACAAAATGTCTTAAAATATATTTGTGACACGCATAAACTGCCTTTGGCCCAGACATGGGTCCCATGCTCTCAGCAACACAAAGGAATCTGCCGAAAGTCGAACGAGAATCTCGCGTGTTGCATATCAATACTCGACTCAGCTTGCTATATTGCCGATGAACACGTTTTGGGCTTTCACGAGGCGTGTTCAGGTTACCACTTGCTCAAGAGCGAGGGTATTGTTGGAAAAGCTTTCACGTCTAACCGAATGTGTTTTGCAGAGGACATAAGGACATATAGCAAAACCGAATATCCTCTAGCACACCACGCGAGGATTTTTAACTTATGTGCTTCTGGGGCAATACGCGTGAGGAGGAGCGCAAAAGATGAAAGAATATGTGATTTTGTTTTGGAGTTTTTTCTAAATCAAGAAAATGGTGATGCTCAAAAAGTGATGCTCGACTCGTTTTCTAGTGTCGTGCTAGAAAAGTGCCGGAGCTTGCGAGTAATTACTGACGAGGAGTTGGCTCGAGAAACTTTTTTGTTTGGTGAAAATGATATGAATTTGGACTGGATTGTGAATGGGATGGATTCAGAGGAGAAGGGTAAAGGGTTGTTTAGTGTTTCGTTAGCTGATCACGAGGAGAAATCAGAAGAAGAATGTAATACATGGAATAAATATAAAACTAGCGGTAGAAATAAACGGGCAAAGATGAAGAACACTATTACACTGGAAGTACTTAGGCAGCATTATGGTGGGAGCTTAAAAGAAGCTGCTATGAACATTGGAGGTATTTGCAAAGTTTTCTTATAGTAATGCTAAGATTAATAGGCTAATTTAGCATTTTACTGATTTTAGAAGCTTTTGGATGAGATGTATAAGTACCAGTACTTAGTTTGGGTACTTGTACATTAAAAAAATTCCAGATTCCTTGTGCTTTTGAAAGATCTTTCTAAATAGTCACTAAAAACTTCCATTTTCATTGATGCACTGATTTTACTAGCTACTTTTCAGCTTGGTTTTCTTGTCAGTGGTTCACTAAGCACTGATTTTATCGAATCACCATATTTTCTTTCTTTTTTTTTTTCTTTTTGAT